TTTGGTAGAGGAATTAGGGGTGGAAAAATTCGGACCTAAGCTTAAAATGTTGAGGACGTTGGAAGGAATATCTATGGATGAGGAGTTGTGGACCCAATTATCGTCTCCTTTTGGGTATATCTTATGGACTAACGATTGCTGAAAAATGTCATTAAATTTAGTGGTGAGAATACTTTTTTTCTTTGATCTGGTAGTAATAAAGATAGTGGAGATAATTTGTGATAGGTTAGTCATGTGTTCGTCAGTCATGATGGTTTGTAATAATTGAGTGATGGCGGAAATTTGTTGGTTGAGGTGATGGATATGTTGTATGATTTCACGGATTTTCAAATTAAGGAGCGATTTTTTGAATTTTAAAGAACAGTTAGATAATTTGGAATTGAGTGGTTTGGAGATAGTAATGTGATTGAGGGAATTAGTGATTGATTTAGGAAAAAGAGAGTTGGAGCGGCATTTCAGTAAAAAAATGCGCTGTTCTAACGTGTCGGCAAGGCGTTTATGGAGCGAGCATAGGTTATTAATATGGTATTTGTGACTAGAATAAATGGTTTTGAAAAATGAGAAGGATAAATTAGCTTGACTGGGAGCGGAACTTATTAGAGAGGAGGAGTTTAAAACTGAAGAGGTCAATGTGTCATCATGTGACGAATTGTTAAATGAAGATGGAGAAGAGTGTGAAGAGAAGTTATTAGATAACGGTGCTGCGTGATGAAAAGTTCTGGAAGGTTTTTCAAATCTGGTACTGCGGCGAGTGGGAAGAACAGAGAGAGAGGTTCTGACGTGCGGATGACTGTTGTTGTAGATTGTTGGATCTGGTATTAAGTCTGGAACTGCGACGTATGGACTGAATGTTTGTATCCTGATGTTGACCCCGTGGTAATGTATTCATAATGATGTAGATTTGGTTGACCGTTGATATGATATGAGAAGGAATTAGTCGAGGGTGCGGTCAAAAAAATAAAAAAAATTAAAATATATAAATAATTTTAATTTTTGCCGACGTTTCGACCCACTTTGCAGGTCGTCTTCAGGGCTACAAAAGATACAAACATGTTGAAAAAATAAAAATAAAATAAAAAATAAATATAAGTATATATAAATTACGAAGAAGTTGTCAGATACAGAAATAAAAGATAAAGAAAATAAATACATGATAAGAAAATAGATAAAAGAAAATAAATACATGAATGTTAACGAATAAATGAATGTTAACGAATAAATTGATTGAAAATTGAATAACTATTGTTACAGTAAAGTTAAAATATGGATAAGATAACATAATAATAAGATATCAGTGGATAACAAGCAAGTGGAGGTTACCTTTAATTGTAAATAAACAGATAACGGGACCAAAGGTTAAGAAGTGAAGAAATTGAAAGATTAATAGGGTAACATTAGTGTAATATTGTTGGGATAGATTATTAAGTATAAATAACTCTATAAGAAAACAATAATTTTAAAAGAATACTTTAAAATGTAAGAATAAATGTAAAAACAAGGTTATGATGATAAAGAAACAAAAAACAGGTTGTACTATATATAGATGACAATTGACATTTAGTTTTTTGAAAGCGGTAATGGAATGGTAGGCTGTATGAAGATAATAATAAGGTGTATAGTTGAAGGATAGGTGTGTTAAGAAAGGAATCTCAATAAAAGTCAAAACATACCGTTGGATGTGGCACTGCGGGAGGCGGTTGAAACACTGGCAGTGTCAAAAACTCTAGTTAGCAGTGTCAAAAAAAAAAGTTCTAGTAAAAATAAACGCATACATACATACACATATATACACATACAAACACACACACACACATACACACACACACACACACACATATATATATATATATATATATATATATATAAAAGGAGAAGTAAAAGAAAGTATAAATGGAAGTGAGAAGATTAAATAGAGGTTTATGATCGAGACTTTTTTAAAATGTTGATGATTTGGGAGTAGGCGAGTGATAGATTTTGCTTGTCGGTTTTTAAGTTAAGTGGTTTGTAGTCTAATTGAATGAAAACACTTTCCGTAAGTAGTCTTTTGTCGTGGTTAGGTACTGTGGCAAGAATGGAGGTATTGTCAAAGTCAAATGTGTGGTTTGAGGTTAAGGCGTGTTCAGAGAGTTTAGAAGCAGTAGAGTTCTTAGAAGTAATTGAGTATTTGTGTTGTTTGATGCGGTCTTTAAGTTGGTTTTTGGTTTCTCCAATATAGGCGGAGTTACAATTGGTGGTGGAGCAAGGAATGCGGTATACGATATTAGAGCGGTGTTGCGGAGGGATGGGGTCTTTTAGGTTGGAGTAAATATTGGCAAGTTTGTTATAGTTTTTAAAAGCAACTCGCAGGTTGGGAATAGAGGAACGTAAAGATTTTTGAATTCTATCCGAAAGTAAAGGGATGTATGGTAGAGATCTATATAAAGGAATGGGGGGCTGATTTTGAGAACTAGAGAAAGGGATGGAGGATGAGGGGCGGGTTTTGTAGTCAGTAATAAGTTTTTTAATGGTGTTGGAGGGGAAGTTATTAGACAATAGTATCCGTTGTATGCGTCTAGTGTTTGTTTCATGTAGGTAAGGGTCAGATAGAGAAAAACATCGGTGAATGAGGTTTTTGGCAACGTTAAGTTTTTGGTGAAAGGGGTGTTGAGAATAGTAGTTAAGTAATCTGCCAGAGTATGTTGGTTTTGTGTACCAGTCTGTGGATAAAGTATTGTTGGGATGTCTTTTAATGAGAAGATCGAGGAAAGGGAGGGAATAGTTATCTTCGTATTCAACTGTAAAAGAGAGGCGGGGATGATATGAGTTAAAGGCGGAAAGGATGTCAGGAATAGTATCAGGATTGACGATGAGAAGAAGGTCATCGACGTATTTTTTTATAAGAAATATGTCATTAGGAAACTGTGGGGCTATGGTGTTTAGGAGATCATTAAGAACAATGTTAGATAAGTCGGGTGCGAGAGGATTACCCATAGCTAATCCTGCAATTTGATTATAAAATTGTCCATGGAACTGGAGATAACCAGATTTGCAACAAAGTTGTAGGGATTCAATAAATGATGAACGGTTAAGGGAGGTATGAGACTCTAAGGATGACCAGTTATTTTCTACTATAAGAAGGGCTTTATCTATAGGGATGTTGGTGAAGAGGCTTTTAACGTCTGATGTCTGATATTACATTTCTGTATTGATCACTTCATGTTAAGTTCTTGCATGCATTTTTAGTAGTACTTTCTCGAAATAATTGTTGATGGTGTTTTTCATTTTGTACCTCAATCGGAAATACATATGATGTTTCATTCGTTAATAACCTGATGCTTTTAACTTTGTTTACAAAATTTCCCCCCATCGTCTTCCTTAAGAATATGGAATTTTATTTGGTGTTTCATCTTGAGAAAATCCGAATTAGTTTTGTTGGTAGATATAGTTTTAAGATTTAATGTATTATTTAATTTGAAATTATAATTAATAAAGATCAGTTTTGTAGAAGCAAAATCAGTTATCACTTTATCTATCTACAGTTAACACTAAACAAGATTATAAATAAGTTTTTATAGTTTTTAAGTACAATGAAACACAACAATAAACACTCAATTATTTGATATAATGGCAAACAGTATATATATATATATATATATATATATATATATATATATATATATTTTTTTTTTTTAAAGAGATCCCTAGTTGGGTAATAAGGTTAATGTGATACTGACCTCGTTGAAACCAGTTCAAATTTCATAAGTCTTCAAATAATAAAAACAAAATAACTTAATTGTAAGAATACTTAAATTGTCTATCAGAACTCTCCTTAACAATTTAAATCCAAAAATAAATTTTGTAAATAAAAAAAAATATATGATTTGAGGTGCCTTAGGGATTCAAAACTATTCCCATTAGTTTACCTTTTCTTTGTTCTATTTATTTTATTTTGTTCTATTTATTTTATTTTGTTCTATTTATTTTATTTTGTTCTATTTATTTTATTTTTTTGTACATATGGTGTGAATGTCATCCTACCTCACTATAACCAATGTCCAACAGACAGATTGTTATAATACTCAATAAAGAAATTTAAAAAAAGTTTACCTTTTCAGTAGATTATCACTTTACTCCTTTATCACTTTACCAGGGTTGACCAGAAAAGGGTTTTATGCAATTTTTTAGTTTAGGCGCTTTCTAATGTTTGAGGGGAGCAAATTTCTACGGGGTTTTGTAATTTTGGAAAGAAAGGTTTCAATCCAGGTGACAAGGAAAAAAGCATGGACCACACTACAGCAAGTTGAATAGTATATGATAATACAATTTTACTTTTTTTTGTCTGTTTTTAAGAGGTGAGTAATAAAATTTCTTGTAAGATGGAGAGGGAGGGAGGAAAAGGTAGATTCATGCGCCATCGACCTTGGGGGGATGGCCACTCATGTAGAATACATGAAATATTTTAATTTTTTTAAGATTAATCAGGATGTGATCAGTATGCCATGGGAACTGTGTTATCTAGGAGGATTTAAAAATGAATTTCAGGTTATTTTGAAAGCGGTACATTTCTTAGTTTTAAATTATACAGCCTAGAGCGTTCCAAGGGATCCGAACTGGGTCTTAAAACCGCGTCAGAATCTTTATAACACAATTGGAGTCATCTCGATCCACCGGCTACTAACGTTGGAGTTATAAAATACCTTTTTTAAATGATTTTTATTAAACTTATTAGCAGAAATTGAGAGCCGAACGAGATGAAAATGGGGTTTATATTTTCTTCATAAAATTCTGTTTCTTTTGACACATCGTTTGACAAAATTCGTCGTCTCTGGTAGACACACAAAGGATCTGTGCTACCGTATTATTAATAGTGTAGAGTCCTCTAAATTACATTAACAACCTCCTCACCTTAAATAATAGCACCTTTTACGCTTTGAGCTGGCTAGGCTATTGTCTGATTAATTGCGTTAAAAATATATAAGTTTATTGGAATATGGCTGACTGAGGAGAAAGAAGTTGGTTACCTTCCCATCTTGTGCCCAAGAGGACCGAAGACATTTGTACCAATGAGATAAGAAATGCTGGCCGGCAAAAATGTGACACCTTGCTTCCATCTTCCAGCGCCCATCGTGTCCATCATCCAGATAGGCAAGGATGGTTCTAACATGGCAATTCCTGTGTTTGCGAATGTTATAGCACCTACAATATTTATATTAGTGATAGCATTGCGAATGAATACTGTAATGGTACTATTTCATATTTTGAAATAAATATATTAGTAGCATTAATTGACATAAATTTTTTACTAGCCTTGATAAATTACTCTTATCTAGTAAAAGTTTAAACTAATAAAAGCAAACGTTATTTTACTGAGTAATTGGACCTATCAAACATAAGAATCGGTCTAGCGATTGGCTAAAAAAAAATCTTTATGTACTCTGTAATGTATAGGTTAATCAAACACACATTGTTTTAAAACATTCACGGGATCTCAATTGAGTGATTTGAGAAATGAAACTTAAAAATCTGTCCAGCCGTTCTTATTTTGCCAAAAAATCTTTTTACTTTTACATTAAATTATTGTTATTGTATAAGGATCAATATTTTTTACTTTCATTATTTACTAAATACTATTGTGATATGTTTACTTCTAGTTATTTATTTTGAATGACGTTCTACTTTATAGCACTTTGAAAAAATTAAGTAGAAAAAAGCGGAAGGCTCATTTAGAACTTACTTAAAATGATTTGTAATTTATTATTCAATGAAATTTTTAATTATATTAATAATGAACATTTTTGATATATCGATGTTAGAGTTTATTATAGTTATTATAAGAGAAGGCTACCTGCAGCGATGAGAATGTAAGGATCAGTGATGAGTTCCTTCAAGGACGGGCTTTCAGTTTCTTGCTTTACCACCCCTGGCTGGAGTAGTAACAGTTGAAGCACTGTAACCAACAGCTTTAATAGTAAATAGATTGGATATTTTCGTTCTTTTACAGAAATTCGTCAAGTACACTTTTGATTGAGCTTAACTTATAAGCAGGTATTTTTGAGCTTCAGCAATTTTGTCAAAGATAATTAAACTAAATGAAAAATGACTGAAGAGAAGGATGATTGGAGTGATTAGTCAAATTAAATAGTAAAAATATATAATATTATTTATTTTTACATTCGCCGACGTTTCGGTCCCAAGTTCAGGCCTTCATCAGGGCTGCTGTACAAGAAGTAAAGTCAGACCTGTATAGTACTTATTTAATTTTAGTTTTTATAAAAAAGTACAGCTATCTTGATGAAGGCCTGAACTTTGGGCCGAAACGTTGGCGAATGTAAAAATAAATAAAATTACTTATTTTTTTACCATTTTAATTTGACTGATCACTCCAACCATCCTTCTCTTTAATTATTTACTACATTCAATCATAATTCCACAATAAATGAAAAATGTTTTGATTTAACACTGAGGAAAAATACATCAAATTACTTAATGATTTAATTTTCAAAACTGTTTCTTAATAACTTTTTGCAATGTATAAAATATATTTTATAATTAAATTACACAGTAACCAAAAAGGATGATCTCCCCTTCCTTACAAGGTCACTCACTATTCCTGGGTCAATACCGAGATTCGTCAATACCTACATTGACCGTGTAAGGGCTACATTGCCTTCAATTATATTGACATCAATCAAACTGGTTGTATACAATTTTTTTTTATTGAAGCTCCTTCAATATTATTGAAACAGTGTCAATATGATTGCACATGTAAGGGTTATATTGAGCAATATATACGGATGTTGAAAAGCAAAATGTTTTAGTAGGGAGGTGATACTTAGTTTTGGTAAAGAAAGACTACCTACTTGGAAACCTCCTTATTTTGTGGAAGCAAAATCTCAACTAATATAATATTAACTCAATATAATTGTGAGGTCGATTGTAAATCTACTGGTACAAACGCCTAGAAGTCATGTCATTGGCAATAAAATATTTCCTTCTCATCCAGACTAATTGTTGAAACTAATTGTTATTGTTGAAAAAAAATCATCGAATGATTTGTAAACCATTTCTTGGCTAAAACTAGAATGTTTTTTACATGACAATTTTGACAATGTCTTTTGACAATTTTAAAAATCAAATATAAATTTCTATAATAAAATATCACTTAGACATAGATCAACGATTTACTTTTCACTATCCGGTTTTAAATACAAATATTCGTATTCGCCATTACAGTCAAATTCATAACACTAAACCTTTAAATAACGCTATACCTTTTTCGTGTAGTGGCTTGTAGAAACGAATGTATGATTTTGTTTTCACATCATAATACAATTTTTCATTGTTTATAATTAGATAAGATGAAATTAATAATTTTTTATAATATAAACATATAGGCATATGAATAAACGTTTGGAAGTAGTAAGGGATTGAAGTTAAAAAAAATATATATATATGGTAGATGGTACGGTAATAAGTTATTTCAATGTAACCAACAAATCTGAATTTAGGTTTACTTCATAATCTTTCCAATCCCTTATTTCTAAGAATCTGTCTCTTTTTAATGCTTCAAGAAGCGATTTATGACTTGGAGTGCCTTTTAATAACTTTTCCTCAAAACTTCGATTAATTGTTTTAAAATAAAGTTAGCATGCTCAATCAATTAAATGTTTTATTCTTAGACTAGTCGTTAAAAATATCGTTTTCTTCCCTCAATGCCTCAGTTAATTCACTTTCCAAAAACAAGAGTTTACCATCTGAAATACAATTGTTATCGCTGCTTTTTAATGGGCGATAACAGGTGACTAAATAATTTCATATATTTTTAAGTTGATAGACACGAAGAATCAATATTTAGATCGCATTCTGTTGTACGTAAAAAGTTTAAACATGGGATAGTTTTCTGTTCTACAGGTGTACGTTGCTGATTGAAGTAGATTATGAGTGTCTAAAATGTCCTGAAATCGGGAAAAAAGCATCATTAAATTATCGTTATAGTAATACATCGCTAAATAGTAGAAAAAGTAATTATAACAGCCCAACACTGTTCAATACAAAGATACAAAGAGTTGAAAAAGTATTGTTTAGCTATATTTTTTTCAAGTGCTCAACTTGCATTTTCCTCGGATTATTTATGTGTTTAGGAATAAACGTTGTTTCTTAACATTTAACCTAATAGTACAAACACATTTTTCATTTTAATCTTGAACTTCATTTAAAAATGAATGAAGTATTGTCCCGCTAGATTCGCTATCGGCTGTACTGTGTGACTGTGAGGAAGTATTTCCTCTATTGTGCCGTCTTCCATCGCCCGTTCCATTGCGCTAATATATTCTCTCTATAGGAATTTTAGGTAATGGCTAATTTTTATTAATTAATATTTCTTCAGTAATGTGGCTGAGTGAGAGGCGTTGGGATCTCCTTGAGTCCTGCCTTTCCACGAGTGGAGAGAAAGGTGTGGCATGAATTTTACTGAGTGAATGAATTTTGTAAATATTTTATGCTTGTATTTAAGTTAATACTTTAATTAGTTTAATTTCTTATTGTTTATATACATTTACTTTTATTATTATTATTTTGCTATTTAATTTATTGTACATAGAGTGTGAATGTGCTCTCTGAACACTATTATAAATGTCCTGGATTGAGACAGATTGTAATATTTCTGAATAAATAAATTAAAAAAAGGAAATCGTCAATTGCTTGAAAAATTGTCATCAAAACATAAATTATCAGTATTAGTAACATTTAGTTGGTCTCTTGTTACAATAATGATCCATTGCCATAATTGAGATTTGTATAAAATGTATCTGTGGACATGTGTATAAAAAGAAATGAAAGGTTTGTAATAATTCATTGTGATTATTTCCAGTGAACCACTGGTACATTAAGGAGATATATACCTGTGCCAAGAAGGCAAGTGGAATAAATAGTCGCATAAGCAGGGCCGCCTGGAGACCGCCCTGGAGACGAATGAGATAAAGGGATAACAGCTCTCCAGTTCAAATTACTTTTGTAACACTTATCATAACCGATGGTCAAAACTTTATTGATGATATATTCTAACAATTGCCTTCTAAATACAATCCAATAAACACCGCTTTCCAATACGATGCATTTAAAAATATCCATAGATGCATGCTAAATATTAAAGGTTTTACTTACAACCATCGACGAGGGCTAGGGCTGAAAGAATGAGGAAGGGAGCTGACTTGCCGACGAACTCGTACATGAAGCCACCGAAGGGCGGGCCGATGAGGACGCCCAGTGCCAGGCCCCCCAGGGCGATACCCATAGCGTTCCCTCTGTCCTTGTCGTCTGGGTACCGCTCTGCCAGCATCCCCATACCTAGGCCGACCGCCAATGGATATCAATAAACAAGCATATGATGCACAGGCGGATCTACGGGGAGGGCTTTCGGGCTGAAGCTCCTCCCCTCCAAAATGATAAAATATAACCCTGTTTTACAGAAAAAAATATTAAAAACTATCTCTTAAAGTATTATTGTTCATGTAATTACATTTAATAGGACTTCAAGAATCACTTAAACACTATTTCATATAGGTAGTTCATTTCTTTCATTTTAAAAAGAAAAATATATTATCGTTATATATATGGAAAAAAAAAGCTTCGGCCTCAAGCCCTCCCCCAAAAATTTGTTCCTGTATCCGCTAGTGATATGATGTATTAGAAAAAATCGGTTAGATGAAATATTGTATCTTATTTTTTTAATTTGTTGATCCAAGAGTTCCATTGAGGTTCTGTACTGCTCCTACTGTGATGTTATAAAATAACAAGGGTATTAATGTGAATTGTACTATTGAATCTTTTTTTAATAGTATATTTTAGGTTTTTCTGTAAATTTACAAGACTGAATGATATACCTTTCTAGATATGCCATCCCTTGGAGGAAAACGCTATTGTTTTGGATGAGGGAGTATTTATTCCGGTATCTATAATATTTACTGTATGTCTGTATAACTAGTGTTCGTCCAGTTGTCGAAATTCGACCATAGCCATTAAAAATTTGAGGAAATATAATTAAATTAAAAATAAATTCACTAAATAAAGAGTTAATCACGATTGAAAAATCCTCATTTATTAATATAAATAAAATTTCAATTTTAATTAAAAATCGAGCTTAAACTACCTAAGATTATTTATCAGTAATAGAAATTAGACTCATTCAAAATATTTAACTTCCATTTTAATTTATGTGCGTTATTATCACAATAAATTAATGTTATGATTAAGCAAGTAAAAAATAAATTTAAATTAGCAATTTCAAGTGAGTTTAAATCCATTTTTATGTAGAACTTCTCTGAAAACTATGTTCTTTTTTAATGTTTTCTTATTGTTTAGTACATAGCCTTGACCAATGCCATTGGAAATATAAATTTAAAAATTTTAATTTTAACGTGCTCTACTTGCTGCTACATATAATTGTCCATGCGAAATTACTGGACGTCGCAATAACACGCACATTTTTTCAAACGTTTGACCCTGCGATTTGATTATGATCATAGCAAATGCAGCTATTAATAAGAACGTTGTTCTTTGAAATTCGAATAGAAGCATTTTTTCAGAAAATATTAAATTAATTCTTGAAATTCAAATTCTTTTATTTAAAGTAGCTCCCGTTAGTACTTCACTCTTATTCGTGTTCCATTAACTACTATGCAGTATTTAAGTTAAGAATGAGTATAAATATAGAATTAATTTTTAAATTTAATTTATGAGGCAACATTCCATGATATCATCTCTTTAAATAATAGTCCCGATTACTTCATTAAATTTAAAGTTTTCAATTTATCAAAAACCATAATAAAGGAAATCGACTTTGCAAAAGAAATAATACTAAATGTTTGAAATGATATATCTCTGCAACAAATAATCCAATTTCGATGATTTTTATTTATTTTGTAAGGGATTCAGGAATCTTTGAAATAAATATTGGTATCATCAATAAATGTGTACTTTTTGAGTTATTCACAAATAAAATACTGAATTCATCATAAAAATGTATACAGCTTGTTTTCGGGAAAGTATGTTATATACATAAATTATATATTTTTCAAGGGGAGGACTTTAGCCAAGGTTCATTAAAATCGTTAAAGCCAATTTGGCGCCACAGTCTAAAGCGAATCACGTTATTCGGCCACCATTTCGAAAGGAAAAGCCTGATCACAATGAAACGTATAAAAAAAAAACTTTTAAATATTATTGCGACGTTGTGTCAAAATTTCGAAGAAATCGGTGAAGAACTTTCGGAGATTAGTTGTTTTGAACAAACTACCATTTATGTATTTGTTTACTAACTATTTCATATTTTTATTTATTGATAACAATGAAGCTCGTCAATAGCTATTAAACAAAAAAAGATAGAGGAAACTCGGTTGAATATTAGAGGAGAAAGAGGGGCTGGACCGCTTTGTGTTTGCCTGTTTATATAATGATGTGCAATGAGTTTCTCGCATTTATCATTTTTATTAAATTTAATAGTGTCAAACCGCGATATAGTCAATTCTTTATCTTGGAAGTCTGGTTATCTGTTTAACGTAACACAAGTATTGGAGAACCATGAGCGTAATAAAACATCTGGAGAATATATTTTTCTTTCTAAAACACTGATTACTTTTTAAAATATTTGAAGAAGTTCCGTAGAAAATACACCGGCAGAAAAGCGGTACTGGCGTTGGTGCCTACAGGCCTCTACCACACCATTCATTACTCATAAATGGCTTAATTATAGTGCTGTAATAACGATTTTGATTCATTATATTGATTGTATTAACGAACAAATATTAATGTAATAATTTAACTGTCCAAAAACTTAAAATTTTTTTAAAATTTATTTTATTTTTTATTATTTTTTAAAACTTTTATTTCTTTTATTCTATAAGGAGGTAGTTTAAGAAGGCATCTATTGTAAAAATGATATAATCATAATAATAAAATTTGATTCAAAAATACTTTGCTGAATATCTTGATTTTTTTATTTAACGTTTGCAATTTAACACTTTGTTTTGTATATTTATTGATTCTTAGAGGTAATTTAAATTGTATATACTTAATCGGAAATGAGTCATATTAATACCTGTTTTATAAACTAAAATAATATATACCTAATTTGAACTGCAGTATGAAAATACTGGAGCAGTTTGGACGATATTAAGGGGACGATGCAGGTTTATTATGGTGAAGACTTCGCGTTTTTCCTCATTTTGAGACCAAATACTAATAATTAGTTCCGGTTACCTAGAAGAACTTGTAGCTTCGCCCTTTCCATCTTACTTTGTGCAGAGAGGATAATGCATTCAATAAATAAATTTCTTCTTTTTTATGTTATGGGTCAACTAATAAAGGACATACAATTTTTTTTTATCTAAATATAAAAATGAATGTATGTCTGTCCCTGTGTCTGTCTGTTTGTCTTTTATGCATTATTAAACCATTCATCCGATCGCCATGAAACTTTAGGAAGATGTTGCGTACACACCCGCGAGGATTTCTGGCATAGTAATTCTGTCTTATAATAATTTTGTAATTTTGTGCAATATGTGTAAAAAAAAAATAAAAATGTAAATTTTTTTTTTTGTTCAAAGCTGCTGTTCTCTGAAAGTTCTTTACCGATTGCTTTGAAATGTTTACACAGCGTTGCAATCGAATTCAGGAGTACTTTTGAACATTTTATTACCAAACGCGTCACTATAAATTGTAGCGCCAAAACGGCTTTAACGATTTTGATGAAACTTGGCTAGAGCCTTCCCCTTGAAGTCCTTTTAATTTAAGTGTATAATATACTATCCCGAAAACAAGCTGAAAAAATGTTACGATGCATTCAAAATTTTATTTGCCGACAACTAAAAAAGTACACAATTTTTGATGAACAATACCCATATCCATTTTATGCGTCCTGAATTCCCTACAAAATAAAAAACAATGTCACCGAAATAGATAAGCATTATCTCCAAAAATGAAACAATTTGTAGCGGCCGTAGGAGTAAAGTTGGTTAAAATATTTTTTTAAGGAGAAACAAAGTTGATATTTGTATTTCGCACCTCGATAAACTCTCAAATACTAATTTTCACAGGGATCGAAAAATAAATTTCTTTTGTCTTAAAATTTCGTCAAGGGTGGGACCTTCAATTTTATTCCAGAAATTACAAAAAGTGGGATAACTTAATCATGGCTCCACCTATAAACACGAAAATAATCAGGGATTTAGGGCAACGTAAACTGCACAAATTGCAACAAACCGAACCCCCGTAAGCATATTATAACTTGAGATACAAAATGAAAACGCATTAGGAGATTTTCTTAATTTATTCCTTATGAAGGCGTTAAAAGTTTTTGAAAGTGTTATCTAAAAGTTTTTGATTTGGTTTTGAAGAGCAACAGCTCCGCTTTTCAACGGTTATTGTATCAATGAACCAGGAGAAAATCCTGAGTTATGAATTATTTAGCGAACGGTAGGGAATAAGATTTCAATAGACAGTGAATTGATAACCATAGCAACCAGGTTAACACTTGTCTTTTTATCTTCTTTTCCTCTATCTATATATATAAAAATCTGGTGCGCGCAACACTCAATTTTCACTTACCACTCAACTTTGAATAGAGATTATTTTCTGGCCATGTTGCGCTATTATAAAATTTTTGAAGTGAATTTTTAGCTGAGTTAAAGCTAAAAGATTACAGCTAACAAATCATAAATACTATTAAAATATCAAAAGTCCTATTTATTATATCACCGGTTGATTATGGATTGTACGATTCGTTGGTTGTGGATTGTTCGATCCGTTGATTATGGATTGTATGACTATTAGTTATTAAACTGTTATTTTCCGTTGTTTATTAAAACGAAATTAAGAGATTTGCATTGTCTGTCTTAGACAGGTCAAATGTTGTCACACTAATTGTAAGTAGATTCCGTTGGAATATCGCAAAGTGAAAATTTATCAAATTATTCACTAATTTAATTTTCTAAAAGGTTACATAATGATTTTTCGGAATAAACGGACTATAGGATTCCTAATTATTTAAATATAATGTCAGATCTAGAATTATTAAACTACAGTAAATATATTTAAGGTTATAAACGTATCCATGAAATATTTTTATATTTCACTTCTTCTTTCAAATACTTTTTCCAACTTTAAAAAAAAATTTAAAAGTTCATTAACATTCATTTTGACTTTCAGTTACTTATGTATGTAATCAGTTCTGCGCATGCGCTAGATTACGATATACTACTGTCACCTCGTCTCTTAGTCATATTTTCTTTTTGTTAGGAAATTGGTGCTATTTTTTGATAAGATTGTGACTGTGTGTTAACTAAACACCT